TAAAGGAAGTTCTTCAGGCTGCAGGAAAACGTTATTACATAGAAATATGCATTTGCAGAAAGGAATCCAAAGCACTGAAAATTGTAAATGTCTAGATACATACTAAACTATACATTTTAAAAATTATTTCTTACTAATTTCTTTATAAAATATGACTATTTATAGCAGGAATTATAACACTGCTGTGTGGAGTTTACAATGAATATAGATGTAATATAGATATAAGAATGGTAACGTAAAGGATCTAGGGGTAGATATAGATCCACACAGTTGCAACATCTTTTGTGAAGTAGGTTCAAAATCAATTCTATGTGCACTACTAAAAAGGGATGTATAATGTAATCCCTAGAGCAACCACTAAAAGAAAAAATACAAAGAAATTAGGATTTTTCTTGAATCCATCAGAGATTGGGGTGACAGGACACTCAACTAACCTGAGTGAAATCTAGGAAAAGGCAGGCACCTCTAAGGAGATCACTAAAGTTACAAAGAGAGCAGAGAACTGCATGTTGGGAAAGGACAGCACTAGGGAGATGGGAATTAGGCTTTTGGGAAAAGAAGAACCAGGAAAGGAAACTTAGAATAATTGGTCTTCTCTGAGAGAAGAAATAGAGAATAAAGTTGTATAGTTGTGAGAAAAATCAGTGTCAGATATCATAAGGTCCGAAGTCATCTTAAATAGCAAAAAGGAAAGCCAAATTTTTTTTGGACAACTTTTTTTCAGCACTCAAATTCCTTTTAAGAATTGCTCATACATTTTAGTGGCATTGTAAGAACAAGGACTTATGTTTTCTTGAAGCAGGTAAAAAGATGACAGATAACTGTAACCTATGAGTTTAATTATTTTAAAAGATATTGTCAAATACTGAATGTAAAACTTTTTCTAGGAAGTCTATAGATTTTCTTCTTATGTAACACTTTAAGATGCCAAAACCTTGGCTCCATAATTAACTTATTTGTAGACAGAATAGGCAGATATTTACCTACTTACTTTTCTTTGGTCCTAGCTTTTCTAGATTACAGAAAATAACCTTTGGGTTTGAGGGTACTGTCAAGTAAGTAAGTGTAACCTTTCTGTTCAGGTTGCATTTGAGAGTTTTTCCATTTCTTTATACCTACCTTGACTACCCCCTTCCCAAATCTGAACAGAGTATCTGTGCTTGTTATATTAGCTAGTAAGAACATTCTTATGCAGTAAGTAAGAGCATTCTTCAATCAGGTGATGGATGATGGTCAGTAGAGGCATCCCGATGCCCACCCCTTACCCTGCAAACACTTGTCAGGATTTGAGTCGCTGCCCTCTGTTCACAGTTTTACTTTAGAGTACAAAAAGAACTAGGACTGTCCTTGTATGTGTTAGGCCCAGTTCAAATCATACTTTGTATCCTTTATCTCCAAACATTAAAAAAAACGAACTACCATGAAATTAGGTTTTAATGAAAATGATAGACAAGCCTGAGGGAAAAAGGAAATCACAAAAGGTCAAGTTGTAGTCATTGGTTGAAAAGGGAGGAAGAGACATGTTTTCCTTTGTTTGAACTGATAAAGTACATGGATTTATATAAATTTTAGGCCTTACTGGTACCTGGCAGTTTAAGTCATATTCAGCACTAGCTAGGTAGAAAAGTCATCTTTTGAGTTCACCGTATAAATCCCTTAAATTCTCCTTCATATCAGTATTATACTTTCTCTCATTCCATCTCCTAAACAAAAATAAAACCTAAATATTTTGAAATACAGCCGGGAGAATAGCTCATCTTCCTGAGGTCTTATTAATTCAGAAAGTTAAGAGAGTTTCCACCTACCCAAATAATGACCATTTTAGGAATAGAGAGACTTCCTTTTTAGTCATGGAATGAAGAGAGTTAGCAGTGGAATGAATCAGTAGGCAACATATTACATTACATGTATAATCGTATTCCTTGTTGGATAGACAGAGGCCAGTTATTGTATTATTATAATGTATTATTATAACACGAATTTATCTGTGATCATGACACTAACTGTTTTGACTAAAAAATATTGCTGACTACAGATGATCATAGTAGCTTAGTCAAACATTTTTATATTCTTTGATTAAATGACTCACATACCCATGTAATTTTGGTTTTTGATTAATTTTAATCAAACAATACTGCATATAGCAAAAAGAACACTCAACTAGTATAAAAAAGGCCATATTGAAAATAGTCCCACTTCCACACCTCTTTGTGCCTGCTCCCCAGTGGTAGCCACATTTAATTCCTTTAAGCTATTTTTAAAAAAATTACTTAAAATAGTTCTAATGTCCTGATGGCTAATGCTGAAATTTTTAGACTTACAAATTTATAAATTTTTGACAGTTTGTAAGAACTTTTATTGACTGCCATGCTGTTTGAGGATTTAGCTGTTTGTATTCCTTATCTCACTTTTCCTTCCTGCATTTTCTTACTATAATTTTATCACTGTTCTGCTCTTCTTGGTAGTTAATGTGTACATTATTGAGACTTTGTAAATATTGTTTATTGCTGAACCAAGGAATATAATGTTTTTCTTGTTTAATTATTTTTTCTATAATTAATAATAACCTCTTAATCTTTTCAGTAGTTTGTCAGTATTCTTATGTTTTCTTTTGATATGTATATACCACATACCTAACAGTCAGTTTTCAAGTATTCAGATATCAAACCATGTATCAAGTCAATTTAGTTACTTTCTTCCAATTTTGTAGACAGTTATAATTGTTTCCTTTGCTCTGCATGGGTTATTGTATGTCTTCCGTTTTTCAGAACTGTGTCGACGCCTTTCATCTTCTATTGCCTTTTCTCACATTTACTTGTGGGTTTCTACCTTTTAGTCCTTGTATTGTTATTTTACTATGGTTTCTAGAGGGAGTAGAGATAAACCTTTGTGTTCCCATGAAGATTTCTGGGTTAGAGATGAGTAGATGAGAGTGGTTTCTGTTTTCTGCTTCTATAATACTCTCATAGTCCCTAGTTTTGCAGTTAGTTCAGTGTTATTGCATGCTATAAATGTTTAATTAATGCTTATCGAACATCAACTGTAATGTTCTTATCCCATTTCTCATTCTTCCCCAACAGCTTATGGGGTCTTGAAATTTGAGTTTCCTAAATCCTGTCTTTCTCCCAGTTGCTAATTTATAGCTTAATATAAGAAGATTATCTCTTGATTTGGAAGAAAATGTGAAGTAATTAGGATAATTTTGGGTTCTTTGCATTTTAGTGATTTACTGAGAGTTTATTGAAAGTTCTGAAACTAGGACTTGGTTTCCAGAATCTGAATTTTTAAAAACTCTGATAGAGCATCTTTATATAGTCCCTTTTAATAAACTGAATGCAAGACAGGAATAATAGACTCAGGTTCATAACATGATAGCGCCTGCTATTTCCTTTTTATTTACTACATTTTTCCATCTAAATTGAGTAGAACATAGGCCTGAGTAGGTTTAAGGGTGTTTATAAGTGCATTAAGATTAACAAAAAAACAAAACTTTTTTTTCTCTCTTTTCCTTGGGTTTGTATTGTTTTGTCAACCTGCCTAGTGCTCTGAGGTTAGAGGTTATATTTAATAGGAAACTACTACATTCTTCCTGATAGTTTTGTGGCTTATTCTTAAAAAAAAAAATTAATGTGTGGACACCCAGGAAGTAGATCTGTAGTCTCAGACTGCAGACTAGCAGTTGATAGATTATAGGCATTACATCCTTCATGTCATGCTTTTATATAAAACTATTTATATCAGAGTTTTTATAGAAATATTTTTGTTTGCCCTTTATTCTAGAAATTGTTCCTACCAATGAAGAAGAAAATAAAGAAGTAATAAAGGAGAACAGAGATAATATACACATTTAGAAATAGAAGAGTAATTTGTTACAAAAGTTGTAATTGAAAGGAATGCCTCAATATTTTCACTATATATGGCAGTTGACATTTTTAATACATAAAATGTGGAATAATTAACAAAAAACATGAGAAGACAGTACATAGAAGAAGAAACATAAATGACTCATAAGTCTCTAAAAATATTTAATCTCACAGATAGTCAAAGAAATTTCAGTAAGAATGGGATACTCTTTTTAAACCATCACAATGGCAAAGATTAAAGTAAATGATACTACCTAGCATTGTCATTGATGTGAGAACCAGCCTTTTTTTTTGTTTTTAACTGTTGGCTAATTTGAAAATTGTTGAGGGCCACAGAGGACAAATATGGATTAATAAACAGAGGTCTTGTCCATTCTGGGGCATTAGAAACAGCTTCTCTAAGATTGATATTTAGTTGTAGTTCTAAAGATAAGTGGTAATAAGTGAAAAAGGAAATACCATTCCAGGAAGAGAGCAGCATTTGTCATAGTCCTGAGTTAAGAAGATACAGTATGTGTGTTTAAAGATGGATATATCTTACAAGCTATTGGCTTAGCATCTACAAATAATGAGACTTTAAATAATATAATAAATAATATGAAACTTAACATAGATAATCTATTAGGCATTTATTTCAGTCCTTCTGCAAAATCAGCTTTATAAAGCAATTTCTTTGTGTTATCATGACCTTGTAGTACCTGATAATTTATCCATCTTCAGTTGTCTTCAGGGCTAGAAAGTATATTTTTGCCTGTCCAGTTTCATGGACAAGAGGATAGTATTTTTTTTGTAGGTAATTATGACTCTTTTCATGGTTAGAAAGTTGGCCTACCACAGTCACATCAGTCACATTGGAACCTGTATAAATCTAAAGGAAGGTTTGTAAGATTAATTTAACCAGAATGAAACCACAGTACCTTAACCTTTTATCTCCGGGAGAATACTGAAACTTCATGAGCTTAAGAAAGTTTTAATATAAATCAGAGCCAGGATTTGAACCCATAAAGTAATTAAGTTGCTGTTTTTAGAGTATTACTTTTAAAGAAAGTGAGATTTTTAGACAGAAAGATTACCTTAACAAACAACTGATTGTGTTTATTTTTCCCAACTAAAAATTGAATGTATTTATTTTTTCAGAGACATTAAACCTGACAATATATTGATGGATATGAATGGACATATTCGGTTAGCTGATTTTGGTTCTTGTCTGAAGCTGATGGAAGATGGAACGGTAAATAAAGATGAATCCTAAATTGTTTTACTCACAGACATTTCCCTGCTATTTGCCTTCTGTATCTATTTTAGAAATCAACTTTTATACTATCTACCCATCCATCCATCCATCCATCCATTTGTCTATGTGTGCTCCACTTCCTTCCACAAAGACATTTGGGTATATTTGTTCATCATAGAGCTCGTCTATAAAATCATCATAGCATTTCAGCTGCTTATATTAATGATCTTAAGATTGATGTGGCAAAGCTGGGCTCTGTGGCTCAGCCTGTAATCCTGCGCCTTTGGGAGGCTGAGGTGAGTGGATTGCCTGAGCCTGCGGTTTCAAGACCCGCCTGGGCAGCAAGACCTCTTCTCTACAATAAATCAAAAAATCAGCCGGGCGTGGTAGCGCGCCCCTGTAATTCCGGCTACTCGAAAGGCTGAGGCGTAAGGATCGCTGGAGCCCAGCAGGTCAAGGCTGCGGTGGCCGCTCCCGGGAGCGGCCACTGCACTCCAGTCTGGGTGACGGAGTGAGACTCCAACTCAAAAAAAAAAAGATGGATGCGGCATATCCTTTATGAGATCCCTGTTTACTCCTTCTTAGCTGGTAACTATTATTGTAATTGTGATATTTTAAAGTTTCCAAAAGGGTAAAGAAAATAAATTCCATGTAGAAAAAGAAAATGCAGTTTTGTCTTCACTTTTATTTATTTTGTCTTTCTTTCCTAATTGTGTAGTTATTCTGAAGTTCAGTGTTCAACAAATGAACACTTTTTTCAGAAAGTACTCTGTGTTCATCTCATGTTCCCATTTGCTTAACTTCTGCTAACGCTAACCCTCTCAGTAGTTTTTTTTATTTAAAAGTTTATAAACCCAAATTTTATTCCTTGTTATTGTTTTTAAACTTTGTTTTCCTGGATGTATAGCAGAGATCCAAATATGTATTAATCTAAGTGGCAGAAGCTTTTGGAGAACAGTTTAGTATAATGCATTCCAAAAGCCATGAAAATGTCTCATTATTCTGGACCAGTAATTTTGATTTCTGAACGTTTATCATATGGTGATAACTTCTTCAGAAAGGATTATATGACCTTTGCTCTGGCCTTGATGGGAGAAGTAATTGGTACCAAATTAGCACTGCCACCATAAACAACTATAAAACTGAATACAATATATTTTTTTTTTTTTGAGTTGGAGTCTCACTCCATCGCCCAGGCTGGAATGCAGCGGCACGCTCACGGCCACCCCAGCGTTGACCTGGTGGGTTACAGCGATCCTTCCACCTCAGTCTTCCAAGTAGATGGAACTACAGGCATGTGCTACCACACCCAGCTAATTTTTTGATTTATTGTAGAGATGAGACCTTGCCAAGTTGCCTGGGCTGGCTTCAAACCTGCAGGCTCAGGCAATCCACCCATCTTGGCTTCCCAAAGTGCTGGGATTACAGGCTGAGCCACCAAGCCTGGCCTTGAACATAGTATTTAAGACAGCTGTTTACAGGCAGTAGACCACAAGCAATGTAAGACTATATTCCTGACACACTTTAACTCATAAGGTGTTCCTCACAATTATGTAAAATTGGGACAATTCCTGACTCTGATGCAGAAAGCTAGACTGAGAGCAGACTATAGCAGCAGTCTTTCAGAGCTTACAAGTGGTAAGAGTTGGGTTAACTGCCAGCAGCTGGAATCTGCAGGACCTGGCTTTGGAGAAGAGGGTATTTTGCAGCCAGAGGGCCCAAAGTATTCATATTGGGGTACCTAAGAAAGATCAGGCTATGCATGTGCACTGTAAGAACATATGAAACTTACCAATAGCAGATGATATCCATCTGAACTCAGAACAGAATGCTAGAGATTAAGCAGTTGCTGGAGGAGAAACAGTGCTAGAGGATGTTGAATTTTCAGCCCTGGAGTGCCAGTCAACACTTTTGTAAAACCCAAGACTTATTCTAACAGCCTGAATTCAAGTTCTGATACAGTACAGTGTTTGTAAGTCTTCCCTCCAAGCAGAGGGGCCTTTGAGTCCCTTGTTCAAAACTGAGGCTCCTCTCCTGGAGACTGCTGTCAGCCTTTCTAAATTCCTGCACACTCCAGAATCCATGAGTAATATTGCTATTTATATGAGTTTCCCTCAGTCAGACTTGTTTCTGAAAGCCTGGGTGTCTTCCCAGTCATTCATCTTATTTTGCTTGACAATAGGATAACGTTTTAAATGTTGATACCAGCACATTTATTCATGACGTCAAAATAGCTTTCTTGGACGTACCACCAGTATATTGGACTTCCATTTTAAAAACTATAAGGAAGGAACCGCCTTATTACATGTTTGATTTTGTTTTGTGTTTTTTTAGTTAAAGTGATATCTGTATATATTTTAAGAAGATATGTAACAAAAAACGAACTTCTTGTGCTCCAATTCTTTCCATCTTCAGATCTCTTTCTTTAGAGAAAGACACAAATCTTTTGGTTCTTTCTTCTGTCATTTCATTTACTTACATGTTTCTTATCATATTTGTGCTGCTGTCTTTTGATTATTTAGTTTCAGATACCACCCATTAATTTCCTGCCACAGAAAATGGGGATACAGTTCTCTTACATTCCTCTTGCCCAGCCAGTACACTTCCTCTCTATCCTTCCAATGTAATTATCACACAACCTTTTATTAACTCCTGTTCAGTTTTCTTTAATGATGGTAAAAATATTCCCAGCTGTGTAATTTGATTCTATTTGATTTATTTTAATTCAATTTAATTTAATTCTATTTTTTCTACAACATTTTGCTCTCCTGGACTAAGTGACCACTTTGCTTTGCTTAATTTTTTTTGTATAACTGTCACCAGTTTACCCCCAAACTCTCTACCACATTAAGTTACTTAATTGTTACATAATTTAGCAATTTCTTTCTCTCTGATACATTAAATAATTTAGCAGTTTCCTTTTTTCCCTTGGAGATATTCATAGGGAGTCTTGCATTCTGCTGTTCAAATCTGGACTGTTTGTTCTATAGGTCTTTAGCAGAGCTTTCATTCTAGGACTCTTCATGGAATTTACTGTGCTGCTCTCTAGTATTGGATTCTCTGTTTCCTGGATCACATGTCTGTCCTTCTCATTTGGTGGTAGCTGCCTGAGGAATGTTCCATTGGAAGTAAATATTTCGTCTTCCATGTCTGAAAAGTGCCTTCATTTCTACTCTTATACTTTATTGATAATTTGGACATAGTGTTTTAGATTTGAAATGATTTTTTCTCTTAGAATTTTGAAGACATTACATTGTTTAGACATCTGATACCACTGTGATGCCCAATCTTTCTATCACAGCCTTTTTCTCCATCTCTGGAAGCTTTTAGGATGTTCTGTTTATTCTCAGTTGGAAATATTATGATTATCTGACTTTCTGTGGGTCGTTATTTGTTACATGGGCAGCTAGCCCAATTCTGAGAACCTTTTCCAAGTTTATGACTCTCAAATTAAGTTTTCGCTTGCCTTTTGGATCTTATATTTCAGTCAGAATCACCCCAAGTTAATCACTTTATCTTTATAAAAAGTCAATTTCTGGGGGAGAACTGTTTGCTGTAATACTTTTTGTTCCTCTAAAATTGTCTTGGTTATTCCTGGCCCTTTGTTTTTCCATAGCATCTTTAGGATTAGCTTATTGGTTTATAGCCATTCAGGTACATAGATGCAAACACTCCTTTATAAACACTAGGTTGTAGACCTGCATTGAATTTAGAGGTTTTTTTTGGTTTTTTTTTTTTTTAAATTGGAGTCTCACTCTGTTGCCCAGACTGGAGTGCAGTGGCCGCTCCCGGCCACTGCAGCCTCGACCTGCTGGGCTCCGGCGATCCTTCTGCCTCAGCCTTCCAAGTAGCTGGAACTACAGGTGCGTGCTACCACACCTGGCTTATTTTTTGATTTATTGTAGAGATGAGGTCTCGCCAAGTTGCCCAGGTGGGTCTCAAACCCGTGGGCTCAGGCAATCCATTCACCTCAGCCTCCCAAGGCGTGGGATTACAGGCTGAGCCACCGAACCCGGCTGAATTTAGAGATTAATTGTGAGGAAATTTATGCCTGTAACATGAAATCATCTCATCCATGAATATCGTATTCTCTTTATTATTTCAGATTTTCTTTATGTCTGTTAATGAAGTTTTGCAATATTCACTATTCATAGTCTTTATACATTAGATTGTTCCTGGGATCCTTTTGGATTCTTTTTTTGTTACCTGTATTATAAATACTTGTTTAATAGCTTGTTGGTCTTCTTTAGTACTAGAATTGAATTTGAATATTCATCTTAAATCTGGTAATACTGCTAATTTTTTGATCACTTCAATATAATTTGTAGATTCTTCTGGATATTCTATATAGACAAACATATAGTCTACAAAATGACCAAAGACCTTCAGTACAGTGTTAAATAGGTGTGATGATAGGGAACATTTTGTCTTGTTCCTGACTTTAGCAGTGCTGTTTCAAATTAGTGTAATGTCTGCGGTTAGCTTTTGGTATATATCCTTTATCAGATTAAGGGCATCTCTTCTTATTTCTGAATACTAAGAGTTTGTTGTTGTGGTGGTTGTAATCAAATGACTTTTCTGCATTCAGTTGAAATGATGTTGGACTGTTTTCCCTTTAATCTATTAGTTAATCTGGTGAATGACATAGATTTCCCAGTGTTAAATCATCCATTCTTTGTATGAACATAACTTTATCAAGATGTTGTATTGCTATATTTTAACAGATTGCCAGTTGACTTGACTAATATTTTATATAGGATTGTTACCCAACATTTATACATGACGTTAATCATCTCTGAGATTGGAGTATCATTTTTTTTCTCAAATTGTTACTGTTTTAATTTTGTATTTAGATTATTTTTGCCTTTTAAAATGAAGAGATAAACTACATTCTCCCCTTTACCGATTTGGCTCTAAAACAGTTTATATAATTCACCTGTTATTTGTTTCCTATATCACTGGTAGAATTTACTTTTAAATCACCTTAGTTTGGGTGA